CTACGTGTTTTGGGAAATGATTCACACAGTAGTGGCTGTGCATTCGTAAGTGGCTGTTGAAATGTGTTGCTGGTGGGATTAGGAGATAAGTCAAGGTTTCAAGTGCTGATGAGAATGTTAAGAATATCCTCTCCAGTAGTCACCCTGGACACTTGAGAGCTGGCTAGCAAAGTGCCTGTGATCAGTCAACAGACAATATATTTTGCGTTACCTGCACATCCCTATTTTGGGTGTTAGCTTGTTTCCAACAGTATATTTGTAATTCTTCGCCAAGCACAGCTAAGTATTGATGAGATTGTAACCTTCATTTAGAAAACTCATTACAACTAAATAAAAACTTTTTGTTTCATTTCACTTAATAATGGGCTGCTGGTAAGATTTCATAATGTTCTGGAGTCACGTGGGGAAAAGCATCAAATGGATATATTGATTCAGCTTCCCTTGACCAGCTCTAGCTTCTGCCCATCCAGCCGGCTGAAGTGCTGATTACATAAAAAGTTCCATCTGTTCTGAAAGTTTTAAGTTCTTACTTTGCCATGCTCTATGTTGGTGTTTGGTTGTGCTGTGGGTTTTTCAACCAAAATGGGGAGAAAAACATTGTGAAACAATAAACCTGTGTGCATTTTAAATCCATGATTTGTGCTGCTTTTGTGGAAAGATCCACGTATGCCAGAAAAAAGAGTTGAATTCCCTTTTTTTGTTGCTTCCACGATTGCACTTCAGAAGTTCATTTTTCTGAGTCCCTGCATTAGCAGGGTTTAACCATCATGTATGAAAGCTTCTATACTTTTCCACAGCTTTCTGTACAAACACACACCTGTATCAACTGAGAGAAGTTTTAAAAGAGAAATTTTCACTGCCAGGCAAGCCCAGTGCTTTTAGCCAAGTTGTCCTGTAAGGATTTAAATTGCAACATCATTATTTTCTATCTTAAAAGCAAAGTGAACTTCCTGAGCAAAACTGTTTCTTCTTCTGGAGTAAGCATGGGCTTTGCTTCATTGGATTAGAAAACCCACTTGTTTTGTCAGTAATACATGCTGTTTATCCCACTAATGTACTATTGCAACAACAGGGAAGATTTCCAGCTCTTCATTCCCAAGTTTGTAAAAGACATTTTTAAAGGCATAGCTTTCTAAGCACACAAAAAATTATTTGAGTAAAATAAGAACAAAACAGATGATAAAAGGAGACTTATTATTGAAAGTATTCCCATCCCTACATAAATCTCTCAGAATAAATCCCATATCATCTTTCTTGAAGTCCTGAGTCAAACATGCGGCAAGATTACAGTGCAGTAGCTGGCCAAGCACTAGCAGGAACGCTGCAGCAGAGCTAATACAGTGTCTCAAAGAAGGGAAAAAAACCTTCGGTAAAGCCGTTTCCCAGACCAAATCCAGGTTCAGAACATACTTGTTTCAGTTTAGGAGAGGCCAGTGGCTTTACTGGACAAAATGATGAATATCGATTGTTTAGGAGGGAGAAACAGCCCTCTACAGAGAAGACAATGTTGTGTGTCGCATTTACAAATCAAAAGCTCATGGAAGTGAGCACATTTGCACACTGCAAAATTAAATTTTCATAGTTAGTGTGGGGACTAATTGTAAAAAATATATTAAAAAAGAAAAAAAGGCAATCCTTTCTAGCCCAGAGGCTTCACTGGAAAGTGTGAGCTGTCGTGAGCGTGGTGTGGTGATGTACAGGGACAGCTCTGCCCCTCTGCTCGCAGCCACCTGCTTTCCAGAAGCTCAACAAAAGCTGATCAGAGCTGTATGTGATTTTCTAGACTAATCAGACCTCTGTAAGCAGCATTGAAAGCAATATGAATTGGGTCAAATTTTTAGTCTTCTGCAGCTTCAAACAGCCAAGTACAAAAGCTGAGGACAGATGCTGGAGTACCTGGTGCATCTGCTATAGGTCACTGGTAGAGGAAGATCACAGACCCTGTCATCATTTGATCTGATTCAATATGACAGCCCTTAAGTAGTTATTCGCCAAGAAGAAAGACTGAAGATTAAGGTTGGTATGAAGTGATCTAATTGAAAGGCAAGCTTCAAAAGCCAGGAAAGCTTAGGGAGGAGGCATGTGGAAAGAAAGGAGGAAGGGTCTAACAGTCTGAAGATCTTCCCCACCCTCTCCGGCTGCTAATGAGGAGAAGGAGCAGTCCCTTGTTTACTGGTATTTCTTTCATTCCTGTTAGAAGACATATGCAAATATCTCTAAAGATAACCTAAGCTACTGGAGAAGGGTTACCTTTCTTCAGTCTTCTGAAAGCATCTTATACAGTGCACATAGGATCTAGTGCTTGACAAAGCTCCTTATGGAATGGGCTGGTG